TCCTTTTCTTTATTATCTTTTAATATACCATAGGAATGATAGCGGAGTTGATTACCGCTTCATGCACCACGTTTATGATTTCAGGGTTGTCTTTCTCCTAGACTGGCTGCCACCCAAGGCTAGATAACTCACTCTATCCCGATATTTAACTCTGGGTAGCTGTGCTGAAAATTTCTCAACCAAGCCCGCATCCTAAAATCTGGTCAAATATTAAATTTTGCGGAGAAAATTTGGATCAATTTAAAAAATACTTTTCATATTTTATGAGAACAAATTTACAAAACTAAGTTACAAAAATTTCTTGCGTCCTGGGTAAGACGATAAACTACATCCGACAGCAATGCCTCTGTTCAGGAGGTTTTTGAGGAGCATGGAACCTCATCTTAATTGCTGTTGTTCCCAGGTCCACCATGACCCAGGGTAATAGCACCTGTAGGGTCCAAACTATGGGCAAATAGTTAACACCTAAACTGGGGTCAAAACCCCATGAAGGGTAAAAATAGGTTTTAATACCAGCAATAAATATTTGAGGAAAATTATTACCAGCAATACATTTTTTAAGAAAAAATATCAGCAATAAAAATCTTGTCGGTATAAAATAACCCATTGAGGTTGATATACCGTAAACCAAACTAAACCAAACCAAAAATTTCTTGTGTATGAATTGTTTTTGTTGAATAGAAAGGATTTTTAAATTCATCCAATATAAATTATTAAATTCTTAAAAATAAAATCTTGGGGTTTGAACACCAGTGTCTTGCATCAACAGGGAAATCGGTAACTATTGCAGCTATGAGTCACACTCTTTTTCCTCATCATCTTTTCAATATAACTTGATAGATATTTGATCTTAGCGGTAATTAACGTGTTTCAAAAATGATTTTTTTTCATTATTTTGTTAAAATGAACTCTCCTTGCTAAAAAGAAATCTTGCGTGACGCCTATAAAAATAAACTGCTGGTTAATACGAATTGCAGAAATTGAATTTATGCCTAGTGGATAAAATTTCACTCCAAGGCGATGATAAAAATTGTAAATTTATAATTTATTTTATACAGACAAGAGACAATTCAATAAGACAGTTAAGTCAGTGTAGTTTAAACCTCGTAAACAGTCGCGTGACTGAATTGGCAATTTATTTCATAATTTAATATGAACTGAAAATCAGGCTTGATAGCATGCGGCTAAAATGTCAGTGCCAGAAAATGATAAAAAGTTGTAAATTTATAGACGGCAAAAAGAAATTCGCTGAAGCAGTTTACGTTAATGTCGTTCAAATCTCGTAAATAGTAACGTGACCGAATTGATAGCTTATTTTTTCCAAGCACAAAACTTAGGAGACACGGTAGAGTTATGGATTGTAGTTCGAATTGAAGAATCGGAGAACCGAGTTCGAATTACAGTCAAGTTCGTTACATTCACTTGCGTGCCTTTGGGAAAGGTATGAATCCAACATTTCCCCCACCTGCCTCTATGGGTAAATAGTAGACTAGGTTCTATAACCTTAGGCGGCAATCGGCATAGCAGAAGGAAAAATTTGAATTCAAAACTATAGAGCTGGGTAAATTGTCGCCATTTTATATTTTTTAATTTCGTGCATGCGCGTTGTTTGTTTTTGTTGAGTGCACCTTATAGTAGGGTCAGTTGGGTACCGTCTGTAAGAAAAAGAGCACCATGACGCTATTCACTATGCCAGAAATTTGGAAATGGCATGATGTATTGCTTGGCATTACCAACGAAAGCTCCAATATGAACATTTCAGTGTATTTGAGTATCAATCTAAGGAGAGTGCAGAGGATTTGAAAAAATGTTGGATGAACCTAACGTTGATTCCGAAAGTCTATGGAGTGATTACTAGTGATGGCGACGTTATAGCTCCATTCATCTTCTCACAGAGCCACAGACTCAACACGGATGCTAATTAAAATGCCTTGAAGAGGTAGTGCTTCCCTGGGATTGTGAAGGTGTTTGGAGTGATCAGTAGTGATGGCAATGTTATGCCTTCATTCATCTTCCCACAGGGACTCAAACTCAACATGGAGACCTCCATCAAGTGCCTTGAGGCAGTAATGCTGCCCTGGGTCAAGAGGGTGGCTGCTGGAAGACCCTATGTCTGATAACAGGACTCTGCGCCATGTCACACAAGCAGGAGAACCTATTTATGGTTGCTAGACAATTCCTGCGACCACATCACCCCTTACATATGGATACTTAACTCCCCAGACTCCCTTGATTGTTATATGTGGGGCGCAGTTAAACGAGAGACCAACAAAACTCCTTGTAAGACCAAAGATGAACTGAAGGCAAGGATTATGGTAGCATTCACCAACTTAAACAAAGAGATTGTTTGGAAAAGTTGCAGGAGATTCCGAAGTCGTCTAGAGGCCAAGGTTGAAGCTAATGGCGATTTTATTGAATAAATTTACTCTAGTATATTTTTTATATCTAGCTATTTTTGTGTAAGTTAGGTAAGTATATATGTTAAAATGTCAGTGTTATTTTCATTTTTGTGTCATTTAGACGAGAATTTATCAATCGAACCTTGCATGTAGTCCTGTCGAAGCACATGCTATGCAGCTAAGTAAAGGACCGTTTGCACTGATTCGATTATCCCTACTATGGTAGACTCCTTAACAGACTGGGTTCTACACCCTTGGGTGGCAACAGGACTAGGAGAAGGAAAACTATGAATTCTTCAGGTGGTTGGAATGTCGAACTAAACCCTTTATTTTGCTCGCTGGGGTAGACTGTTCAAGTTCCACGTGACATGTCTAATAGTTACCAGTTAGCTCTTAATAAATGTTGTTATCTCTCCTAAACTTTGTTCTGCTATCCATCTACTTAAGCTCACTAAATAGGTTATACGTTGTTTTCCTCTGTCCAACTTGTTTTCAATATGTCCTGTGAGTATCAGATTTTCCAAGCATTCTTTTATCATGATGTGCCCTGGAAATTTCAACTACCTGATGCTAAGTATAAGTGTCTTTTTTGTTTCCGTTTTCTCTAAAACTTCATCGTTGATCACATGTTCGGTCCATGGGATTCACAGCACCCTTCTGTAGAACATTACTGTTGCGTCACGTCTCTTCTTCATCTGCAAGGAAATTGTCCAGCATTCATTGCCACATATGAATACTATTACGTAAGAGTTCAGTACTCTTTTCTTTGCTTCTAACGGAATTTTTCTGTTTCCTTATAATATGGAAGGCATCTTTCACTATCCCAATAAGCCTTCGGATTTCAGTATTGCATTTTCCATCCCCCATTAAAACATTTCCCAAATATTTAAATTGATGGACTTGTTTCATTTTAGTATCACCATTTTGTAATTTACCTGCTAGGCTGTCCCTTTTGCTAACAACCATGCATTCTATCTTATTGCAATTGATGTTTAGTCCTTTCTTCTCGCTTTCCTTCGTTACTTTCGGTAGGTGTTCTTTACTGAAGGGTAACTGGACTACTTGTAAAAAATAGGATTTCGTTTGTATTACTATGTTGCATTTTTCATTCTCTGTTAAAACATTTCCCAAATATTTAAATTGCTGTACTTGTTTGATTTTGTTATCTCTATTTTGTAATTTGCATGCTAGGTGTTCCTTTTGCTAACAACCATGCATTCTATCTTCTTGAAATTGATGTTCTTGTTTGATTTCGGCATCTCCATTTTGTAATATCCATGATGGGCTGTACCTTTTGCTAACAACCATGAATTCCTATCTGTCTTATATCCTATTTTCCTTCCTTCATCACCTGTATACTGAATTCTTGATTATATATGTTTTTTTTAATTTCTGTTAAAACATTTCCCAAATATTTAAATTGCCCGCTATCAACATTGTGTCATCTGTATATTTTATGTTGTTAAGATTATGACCAACACTAAGTAATCCTCACGGTCGCCTCACCTTTAAACTTGAGAAAACACATCCTTGTCTTATACTCCTTTCTATTTTTTATGTATTCACGGAATTCATTTTTATCCGTATGCAGTCGTTTTTCTCCCGGTATAGATTCTGGGTTATTCTAATATTAGTATACTCATGTTTTCAAAAATTACGGCAATTGCTCGAAAGTTTTAAGTGAGATGCAATAAAATAATAGTTTTAAAACTATTTACTGGGACTCAAGTGGTGATAAAGAATTCACAATTAAAATAGAAGTCATTGAACCGTTTACTTAATCCGTTCCCTTTATATTTGTAGACGTTCAATAGTATATACGATTCATAGATTACTCTTGACATGAAATAATTCGATTTTGCTCAATATCTTTTCATGTTAAAGATTTTATGTATTTAATATAACAGTGAAATGGAAATAACTCTCAGAAGAAAAAGATTAGCAACGAAAAAAAAAACGACGACAACAAAGCCCGTTTCAAGACGAACATGAAGCAAGACGATCACAGACAAAGGTATCTGAGTGCCACACGTGAAGGGCTAAAACAAATAAGACTGCAATCTAAGAAACGTAAGAGTAAAGCAACTGATTAATTGAACGGTTCATTTTGCTCGGGAACTAATTTTGTATAAAAAATATATTTTATTTGTATAAATTATTAAAACGACTAAGCGAAGTAATCGCTTATAAATTTATTAACTTAAGTTAATTTACCTCCTTTTCCACCACAACGGGAAATATATAAAAAAAATACACATTCATTATTATATCGTCATGATTTATCCTTCCCAAACATGTCAAGGTTATTTAGCAGTTCCAACAGTTATTTGTGACGTAATGAATTTAAAATAACAAAATTGAAATCTCTCGCAAAGATATTAAACGGTAAACATTTTGCCTTTGGTGCTCGATGCTTCAGGCCCACTGATCATGAATTAATGAATGTCGATCGCATTTTTAAAAATCTGTCATAAAAAAAATTCTTTATTCCTAAAATACTAATTTACCCATGTTGTCAAAAATGATAGCACATATAAAACTGATACTTTGATAAATCCTTTCGATTATTTTTTGTTTACTTCTATCTTTGAGCAAATGATTATGACCACATCAGAATCCGTACGATCAACGAAGTTAAGCAACATCGATCCTAGTCAGTACCGAGATAGGTGACAGCTTGGGAATATCAGGTGCTGTATGCTTGGATGTGCGGGTGGTTAATGGATGATGCCTCGGAATTATTAATCGGAGAGCCAATTCCAGTTGAGTTCGTTATATTCAGTTACAGACACATACTCTTGGGAAAATTATGAATCCGTCTCTTTTACTCCCATCTATGGGTTAATTAGTAAGACGTCTATCATTACTATCTCAAAAAATCTTAGAATCTAAAAATATTTTCTAGCTTTATGTAAGCTGTAAAGAGTTGATAAACCGTAGAAAGCAAATTATTCAATCTAATAAGTATGAATGGTAAGACAAGAACAATTTGTGGGTGGTACAAGGTTAAAGGTTATTTGGAGCAACGAAAGAGTTCTGGATGCAACTCTCTTTTCCTATTATCCTACAGGAATAACAACATGAAGGGGTCTTATAGAAAACTATAACAACGTGCATTTACGTATTCTGTATTAAACAAGAGAAATCTTAATTACAAGAAAACGAAACAGTACAGAGACGAAAAGAGTCGTATGTAGAGAATGGAAAGTTGGTTAGTCATTGTGTGTGTGTGTGTGTGTGTGTATTACGCTATCGCTTTCCAGATACATAGGCTGCAGCTTATTCATTCTTCATTTGTCTCTAAAATATTTATTTATGTAGTTTCTTTATCTGCATACACGTCGCTGTTAATGACCTTTGAGTTTCGAAAATGGCACGGGATGTAACGATTTATTTCCCCTAAACACGAATGTGTCTATTCCCGTCTATTTTTTTTAATGAAATTCTGAAACAGAAAAACTAAAGCTAAGAGTAGGAAATTAACGTTACTTTCAGAAGCCCAAAATTATTCAAAATTAACCAAAACATCCCATACAGTATTGCAGAACTGTGGTTTCTGTGATAATTCCATAACAAATAAATTTAAAAGAACACAGTAAATGGAAATAACAGTCAATAAAAGTGATTTTATATAACAACAATTTACAAAATTTGGTATTTGATGCATGAGTAAATTTTGTCTGTATGAGTGTTAGTAAGAAATATCAGATTAATTTATGTTCTGGGTTTTTTTTTTTTTTTTTTTTTTATTGAATCTTTAATTAAATGAAAAGTAATGTATAATATTTCTGTAGTTGTGTGTATGAGAGAAAAAATGTTTTTATCAGTTGAGAAAAATCTAGTCCTACGTGTTTGGTACTTGAAAATCTATCAAAGTAATGGACGACGTGACCTCCAATAGCAGTGGTTGAAAAAAATCCCTGAAGCTATTTTTGTTTACCTTTGCATACACTTTGCAGAAAACATGTGCTGGATCAAACAGGTATGCAATCTTTTAGGCGGACACTTCTTTGATTGGCTGCAATATACGATCCGAATTTCTTATTTTTAAGTTGAAAGAAACGGAAGTTATGCGCCGAGCCAACCTGCGTACGAACATTTTTGACTCTGAAGCGTTAACTTTCTCTTTGATTAGATTTGTACCTTCACAACAGGATTTCAAAATAAATGGTAAGTCTTGTGTTTGTGGGTGAAAAATCCCCCCAGGACATTCTTATTCCAACCACTTATTTTATGAAATATTCATGAAATTTCTCGTCCGGGGAGGTAGATAGACCCGAACCCGTTTATACTTTGATTCTACGGGGAATTTTTAGCCGATCCTATGAGCTCGGATGAGCCACGTTAAACTCGGCCTTGTGCCACATCTACCCTCGTGGTGGGTGGCTAGTAAATATTGTCTAACTGGAATCTGTCCCAGCTGTGCTGTCGAACTCTCTGCCTTTGGGCAGAGTCTCGAATGGCAGAGTCTCGTCCGGGGAGGTAGATAGATCCGATCCCGTTTATGCGGGGTCTATGGGGATTTTTTGGCCGAGCTTACGGGCTCGGGAACCCAACATTAAATTCTGCCTTGTGGGACATGTAACTGCGTGGGGCAGTTGCTAGATACCTTCTAGCTGGAATCTTTCCAGCTGTGCTATCGAACTCTCTGCCTTCGAGCAGAGAGGAACCCGGACGAGAGACTGCCTTCGGACAGTCTCGTCCGGGGAGGTAGACAGACCCGAAACCGCTTATTCGGGGTTGCGGGGAATTTTTGGCCTTTATTTCGGATTGCCCCACATTAAATTCGGCCTTGTGCCATATCCTACCTCGTGGGGAGGCAGGTAAATATTTCTAGCTGGGATCTGTTGAGTACGACTCAGTACGACTAAGACTTACGAGAGAACTACCGACCTTTCAATAGTACAACTCACTACCGGATTGACTTGCGACGACCTTGTGCATAACTTTTACCTTTATTCTTATTGTACTGGTTTTGTACCATAAATCTTTACTTATTTTATCCACCGAATATAACAAAAACAAAGTACTTTATTACAAAAAAATATTAAAAAATTATCAAAAAAATTCTAACTACCACCCTCTATTCCAACCACCCTGTCTATTTAAAACTCAAGTGCAGCATCACACTAATCAGTTGTTACAACGAGAACGCATTCACAAATTTCATCTGGAATCATTGCCGGCCACAATCACAAAAACGTAACAGTTCAACGGTTTTATACTGTAATATAATCGAATAGATATACATCTTTTTAAAAAGTGACAGTTACAAATAAACAGGGTATGGTTATACGAATAACGTGTGAAAATGCCAGACTACTTCACGTGTGGCAATTATCCAAAAGGTCAGTATTCTAAGTTGATCCGTTCTTGAATGTTTACCTTCATGATCTAACCAGACCAGCCGTATTTATCTCCCTTGCAGTCCGCCTCGGATGTTGATACGTCATGTAAATGCGAAGAGATTGTGATTAAGTGATTTCATATAAGCAACACTCTCTTCTATGTGATATGTCGCTTCAGGACGTTGATGATCATGGATCTCCACAATTTCCTCTCGTGCTTTTAATAAATTTTTCGTTTTATTATCTCTCCAAAACTAGCTCCTTGTAGGTTACGCGTTGTTTTCCTCTGCCCCTTTCGCTTTCAATCTGTCTTGTGTGTATTAAATTTTCCAAGTCTTCTATACTCATTATGTTTCAACTATCTCTTCCTGATGTTAAGTTCTTTCTATTTTCTCTAGAACTTTTTTGTTGTTCATATGTTCATTCCATGCCATTCTCATCATCCTTCTGTAGAACCATATTTCTGTTGCCTCTATGAAGAGATTGCCCAGCATTCACTGCCATAGAGGATGACTGATATTACATAACAGTCCAATACTCTCCTCTTTGTTTCTAATTTTTTTTTCTGTTTTTTAATACTTTGTTTAGCTTTTAGAAGGCATCTTTCAAAACCCTCTAAACCTTCGGATTTCATGATAGCACTTCCCGCCCACCGTTAAAATACCTCCCAGAAACTTGTGCTATACTTGTTTGATTTTGCCATCTCCAATTTATAATTTGCAGGTTCGGCTGTTCTTTTTGCTAACAACCATTGTATTTTTTCTTCTTACTATCGACCTTTAGCCCTTTCTTCTCGCCTTCCTTCACTACCTTCCCAACATTAGGAACACTCACTCACCTTTTAAAACCTTCAGTTATTCTCTAAATTCAGTTGTGGCTTCAAGTCTTTTCTTCATCTTTGAGGAGATTGTCCAGCATTCACTGCCATATAGGATAGGAGGACTGATATTAAGTAGCAGTTCAGAATTTTTCTTTGTTTCTGTTGTCTCAGGCGTCTTCTTCATCTGAGAGATTTTCCAGCATTCACTGCCATATAAGAGGACTGATATCACGTAAAAGTACAGTACTCATTCCTTTGTTTCTGTCGCTTTGAGTCACTTCTTCATCTTTGAGGAGATTGTCTAGCATTCATTGCCATACAGGAAGACTGATATATTGTAACAGTACTCTTTTCTTTCTAACGAACTTTTTCTGTCTCTTATTATTCTTCTTGGCTTTTGGAATTCAACTTTGGTTATTACAATGTGTCTTAGAATTTCAGTGTCGCACTTTCCGTTCAATGTTAACACACTTCCCAGTTGTTTAATTTTTTTTACTTGTTTGATCTTGACATCTCCAATTTGTAATTTACATGCTGGTCTGTTTCATTTCTTAACAACCACGAATTCTATCTTCTTGCAATTGATGTTTAGTCCTTTCTTCTCACTTTCCTTCACTACCTTCCGTAAGAGTTCTTTACTGGGGTGGGGGAAACTGGCCTCCTCGTAAAAAAGCGAATTTCTTTTGTATTAATCTGTTGCATTTTTTTTCTCTGATAAAACATTTCCCAAATATTTAAATTGCTGTACTTGTTTGATTTTGGTATCTCCAGTTTGTAATTTGCATGCTGGGCTGCCCCTTTTGCTAACAACTATGAATTCTATCTTCTTGCAATTGGTGTTTAGTCCTTTCTTCTCGCTTTCCTTCATTACCTTTCTAACATTAAGAACACTCACTCACCTTTTTAAAAAAAGGTTTGCGGCTCTTCAGTTATACTCTAAATTCAGTTGAAGTTTGGCACAGGGCTAAAATAAAGGTACTTAGTGAAATTCAAACTCAGTACGAAGTAATAATGATCTTTGAAACCAGTTTATTAATTATTAACCCATCGCTAGGGGACTTTCGAGAAAAAAGGTACTTAACCATCATATTGTGTTGGGCACCTCGATGTGGGGTAATAGTTGAATATTACTACTGAGTAGTGAGTTTGATCCTCACCGGTTGCCCCATACAAAATTTGACATAGCAAGACTTGACAGGCCATAAAATCAACCAATATGTACGGAGTTCGATCCTCACTGGGTGCTTGATACAAAATTTAAATAATCCAATAAAATTTGTCATAATCAATCACAATCAACCAAACCGAACTATCTTTCCTTGCCGTTAAGCGGGACTGACATTTTAAATGTAGGACCTGATGAGTACATAAGTAGGAGCAAAAAAAGACACAATTCAACAGTCATCTTGTCACATGCATCATGGAATAACCAGGAACTTACTTCTTTTGGTGAAATAGGGAGGTACAACTTGCAACTTGGATCCCAAGAAAATAAGCTTATATTTCATATAGTGACCCCGGATTACAAATGACCAAAATGTCGTGCAAAAATGCCATGGAAGCTATATGCTGATTAACTGTTTCGTTTTTTACAGATAATCAATTATTTAAAGTCAGAAAATATTTTTAGATTATAAGAATTTGGTAGGAGGATAATAATGATTTAGTGATACACAGTCATGCTAATTAACCCATAGCTGGGAGAAGATGTTGGTCGATACCTTTCCCAATGGTATTTGCGCGTAAGTGAATTTAACGAACCCGACTGGAATTGAAACTCGACTCTCCAGTTAACAATTCCGTCATTATCCACTATACCATCCACACATCCAAGCTTACAGCACCTGGCTTTCCCATCTAGGTAATGATCAGGCTCGACGTTGCTTAACTTCGGTGATCATATGGGAACTGGTGTTTCAACGTGATATGGCCGTAAGCCCCTATTTTTTGAGGAGTGGTTTGTTTTGACAGAAGGCCAAGAGTATGAAATAAATACTAAGAATTGAACTCACTATTCATTTATAATAATTTGCGAGTTTATCTTATTAACCATTGCCTATCAACACTGGATGCCCCATACATTCGGCCTGGAGACACATTTAAGCTACGTTTAGAAAAATCATCATTACCCAAAAGCCCAAGGACCGTAAGAAAGTTTAACGAGTAAGAGTCTCACTAAACTCCCTGCTAACCAAAACCTTTTCCAGGAAATGCTAACATTTTAAATATCAGGGCGCCTATGTTAGAACAATGGGTAGTAAGCCCAGTGAGTAACCCCTTCGCTAGTCTAGCTAGTTTTATGCTCACCGAATGCCCTACCGTTGAAGCCCTCTTCCAGACAATAATAAACTTTGTAAATATCTGGCGCGTTCAATCCTTACCGAATGGACTAACGTTAAAGCCTTCTTCTAGACAATGTTAAGCTTTATAAATGTTTGTCCGCGCTCAATCTTTACACGCCCAACCGTTAAAAACCTCTTCTCGACAATACGATGCATTGTAAATATATGGGCGCCTATGTTAGAGCAACTGTTAGTAAGTTCGATTCGCAGATCACTATGCAGGGTAGCGAGTTCTGTCCTCGCTAAAAGGCCCTACCGCTGAAGCCCACTTCCAGCCAATATTAAGCTTTGTAAATATTGACATGCTAAATGGTTTAATCATACTAGACGTTAGATTTATTTAAACTGTATGACTACTCGAATAAAAACAACTTCTTGAAATTATTTCTCTCTTGCGACAGCTATGACGCAGTGAAACAAGGGAAAAAGAAGTGCGATGCGGAAAAACATTTTTATTGTCGTCTACCTCTTCTTAATGTTCATTTGATCGAGGCTGTTTGCGAGGAGCACTAAGGCGACCGATATCCCCATTTTGTTCAACTACGCTGTACTGTTCAATAAAAGAAAGTGTTTGGAAGTATTTTATATTTGACATTTGGCAATATTACAGGCCACCAGGGATTTATGAGGCAATATTTCTTTTCTGGGGGATAATGAAAAATTTATTTCTCGGTAACGACTGAGAAATAAAAATGTGAAATCGTTTTTCGGGTTACCTCCTCCTAATTTTCGAAACCGCTACTAGGGGACGCTATCCGGACTATAAATACTCGGCAATATCTTTTCTCGCCCTCTTTACTTTTTCCGCTTACGCATCAACATGTCAATCTCTCGCGGCGAACGCGTTCCCTTTCGGAAAGGCATGAACAATAAATATATAAACACACACACACAGGTACGCACACTCACGACACATAGTTTGGACCATTAGGTTTTCATATTCATTTGACACACACATTGTCTCTTGTAACCCTTTATTGTCAATACATTTATCATTTGTTTGTACATATATATCCGTTCTTGTTGGTTCTTATATTTTTTTTTACTTGGGCTCACATCCCGAGTTTGCAATGTTTGTTGTGGGTATTTCAGGAGACACACGTGTTTATCTCTCAACATATACACCGGCTACTAACACGTTTCACATCAAACACTGGTTCATACAGCCGTCACATAAACAAAAATATCCTGGCTAACTGGGTTCGTCCTTCAACCAACAAATTCACGTGACACTAACTGTATTAGGGTTTGAAGAATGTCTTAATATCCGTGGGAAAGCTTCACTTTAAAAAAATATGATGATGACAGGGAATCCAACGTCCAGATAAGACCTCCCTGCAGTGAGGGTTAAAGTTTTGATGTCTGCATTAAGGCCGAAGAGAATCATGCTTTTTTTAGAAACACATCTTTAAAATTTGAACATTGACACAGAATATAGGAATAACTGTTGTGTAGGAACCACTCCTCTTGAAGATGAACTCGTCTACAAACAAGGACGTTAATGAGTGGCATGTCAAAAGACAGAGTCGTAGAAGTTCTGGGCTGAGTTAGTTATAGACTACTCAGGCGATTTCTGTACCAACTTACCAACCGAATAAACCTCATTTTATTGTTACATGTTATTTGGCGTTTGTCTTTATTAACCCCAAATTAACATCATAACAATAACTTTAGCTACACTACTTGATGGCTACAGCCATAACCAACGAAACTGGGAATCCTTTTTGAAATACTAATGATGAATAGAGCGCGAAGCAGAATAAAGCCATAGATAGGACAAGAACAGTGCGGGTTCGTTAAAGACACAGGAACAAAGAACGCGATATTCATGCTCAGAATGTTATCAGAAAGAGTAATACAGATATCATGGACCGAGCGTAAGAGCAACGATGAGGTCTTGGAGAGGATGCAAACAAGGAGCAAACTTATACTTAACATCAGGAAGAGGAGGCTGAAGTTTCTGGGACACGTAATGAGAATGGAGGGCCTGGAAAATTTGATACTCACAGGTCGAATATAGAGGAAGAGAGACAAGGGAAAGCAACGCATGACATACCTAGTGGGCTTAAGCAAGTGGATGACAGAATGTGGTCTGGGGGAGGTGGCAGATGGACGAAATTTATTGAGAGCTACAAGGGATCGGGGAAAGTGGAGAGCCATGATCGCCTACGTTCTTGAAAAGACACGGCACATAAAAAGAAAAGAAAGAATTCTTATTTGGTGAAATAAAAAATCATTCTTATTCGAAACGCTAAAAATGTTCCGAGTTACGTAATTAAAATATTACTGTCTGTAATTCTGGGATGAAGTCTTTTTTAGTATGTTGGCTACTTCTATAATTATTACGGTTTCTACGAGAATATGTTATATAAATTAATACTAGTGAAAAGGTACATGCTCGAAATAACACAGACCGATTGATTTGCAATGCAAGATAACATAAAATTAAGTTATGTTTAAAAGTTTCTTTCCCTAGAAATAAATAGATATCTTCGTGATGAGGCATTATGATTACTTGTATTATTTACATTATTCGGACTGTTATATTCATTGCCATATTCACAACGTTACGGCCGTTGTACGCTTCAGCCTTCTTCAGGTAATTGGAATTTCCAAACGAACCCTTTATTTCGTCCACCGGGACACATGGCCCAGTAGATAAAGACGTTGGTTAGATCCAGTGACTCCACCCAAAGAGTTCTGAGTTCTATACCAGACCACAGTGGTGGTGAACCAAAAGATGGAGAGTTGAGTTAAAGGGAAATAACTGAAACATTCGGAAGAAGCATGACATGTGGAACTAGAATAATCTACCCCAGTGGACGAAATAAAGGGTTCGGCTCGAAATTGCAATCACCTGAAGAAGGCCGGAACGTACAACAGCCGAAACGTTGTGAATATGGTAATAAAGATGACAATAACAGTCCAAATAATGTAAATAATACAAGGATATTTGGGTGTGACTTGCCTGTGTAGGTGTGTTTCTGTTTGAAGCGTGTACAGTGCTTTTTGCTTTGGTGTGAAAAGTTGATGGCACACACTTCTAAAAGAGAATAAAAGATTTACTTAAGGGTTCGCTTATTTTTATACCCTCTGGGCTGCTGTTGATAATATGTTTATTAAGGCACTGCAGTTGACATTATTTATAAGATAGCCAAACAATACATTGTCGGTTTGAAACTTATTTTATAGGTTTTGAGTTTCTACTTATCAATCAAGCCTCGGAATAAAGAAGGGAAATAAATTCACGTCATTTTCACACCAGTTTTATTATTCTGCCTGGTATAAACCTTGTAGTCATGCGTATAGCGATAAACTACATCCGTGGAAAGGCCTCCGATTTGAATAATCGATGTTTTGCAGGGGTGGAACCACCTCTTCATTGTCGTTATTCTCAGATTCACACTGACCCGGGGCGGCAGCACCTGTTCGAGTCCCAGCTATGGGCAAATAGTGAACACCCAAACAAAAACAAAATACTATGAAAGTATAAAAATACATATTTATAGTAAAATGACCGACAATACATTTTATCAGTAGATGAAGGCATAGGACTGAGTTCAAAATATTTAGATTTCGACATTAAATAACCCATAGACGTTGATATGTCGCTAAATGAAAACAACCAAACCAATCAAAACATTTAGATTTCGGCATTAAATAACCCATAGACGTTGATATGTCGCTAAACGAAAACAACCAAACCAAACCAATCAAAACATTTAGATTTCGGCTTTAAATAACCCATAGAGGTTGATATGCCGCTAAACAAAAACAATCAAACCAATCAAAATATTTAGATTTCGGCATTAAATAACCTATAGACGTTGATACGCAGCTAACCAAACAACCAACATGAAAAAAAAAAACTCTTTCGTGACATTAATCCATATAATATTCTATAATTTCTTTAAGAAATCAAACTGTATCCCTGTCATGCTAATTTACCAACGCACGCAATGACAGCTATAAATAGGAGCAGGTACTGCCTTTTAGAGAGGAAAGTTTCCAGCAGTCAACTCTGAGAATCGGACCGAATATTCTTGCTGGAACACTTTCGTTTGTATTACTGTTTTTGTTAATATATTTAACTCAATTCCTCTATTTTTGTCTTTATTTCTGGTCCCTAACAAGGTCACAACAATCCCAAAATATAACTTCAGCTAAACTACAACATAAAACACACATATCACCGCCTCTAGTAATTATGTCCATACAAACATGTATATGCATAAAAGATGGGTATTATCTACCATGTATTCAATTGCGAAGGCAGAATAACATTTTTATTACTTCAAAACTACCAAGAAAATTAAATTTAGACATTAAATGACCCATAAGCTTTCCATACGCAATAGAATATTATCTTATACTGAAGAAGAAGTCGAAGAATTTGAAAAGTTTATAAAGGCAAAAATCGAAGACGTATCCAGCGTAGAGTTACGTTACAAGAAAACAGAAGAATACAACGGTTTTTATTTTGATTAAATAATAATGACTGATTTGTTTGCTTAACGGTATATCAACTCCTAATGGGTGATTTAATGCCGAAATTTAATTGACATATTTTAAACACAATTTTATGACTTCAACG